ATAATAATAACCCGCGACTCCGGTCGCTGTTACTACTCACAATACCTTTACCATATTATACAACTTTAATACAGAACTTCATACAAATAATTTTCCTTTTTTATAATATTAAGTTGACACGACTAATGACCAAAAATTCCTATACCCTAATTTTAAAATAATTCTTTTACAACTAAGACCGAGGTACCGATGTCCAATGATTTATTATATTAAAGATAGGTATGTAAAATCTACTAGCGCCGTCTATTGAGAGTCTATTTAAAATAAAATGATGTACCTAGATAGATTTGAGTATTAATAAATCTTCATAAAATACACCCTTCTATATTAGTTTTTCTTTATTGTATAAATTACAACCAGTTTTCATTACTTCTAATATTATTGTTTCATTACATAAAATGTTATAGCTCCGAGAAACAAAACGCGTATTTAGTTCTATTTCAGTATTTTATATATTATGTTTTTGATGATTTTTTCTATGTGACTATATTATAACAGTACATTTATATTAATAATGATGTTTTCTGTCGCGGATGTGATCACATTTCCTACATATTAACTCATAGAGGAACAAAATGAATCGTCCCTGAACTAATTACTCCATGTAAAATATAACCTGTTATGTACTGACAGTTTACTAAAATAACAGAATAAAACACGTCATAACAAACAAATAGTAAATATTATTCCAAGATAAGTATTAATCTTTTAGGTACATCTTTAATTCATGATTCAACTATAAATTACCACAGCGATGATTCATTTTTTGTATCTCCTGTGTATGAATCAGATGAGTTCTATTGTTTAGACTTCAGACCATACAAGTGGAGACATCTTTTATCAAATAAAAGGTACTACTTAATGGCGCAAATAAAAATATTTGAACTAGATCGGAAACTATTTCTTGTATATAAATACATAAAATTTATTGTTTGTGTCTGCTTTATTGGGTTTTCAAACAAGCCATCGCATTTTTATGAAACTCGTATGATGTATCAAAGAAAAATAATAGCTCAGAAATATAAATGTTTTTATGGTTCTTAAAGAAGGGTTTTGTTATTTTTATTGATTCTATAAAACAACGGCTCAAGATGTTATAGATATTAATTTTATATAACATAATAATAATAATATTGGTTTTAATTACTCTATTTTAATTATTAAAGCTTTTGTGTCATAGTTGCGATAATTTAGGAACAAACACATATATTTAATAGAATGAATACTATCTTATAAAATGTAGTTGAGTCTACATACCTATCGTTTAATAATTTCAATATATTAGAACAGGAACAAACACATTAGTGTAGATAAGAAAGAAAATAAACACCATTTGTAATAATTATCCATACACATTAGGAATAAACTAATAATTGTTTCTTTACATTTCAATATTAATAATTATTTGTATAGATATATGAGATACACAATATATTATGCATTTTCATGTTCATGTTCATGCAATGAGTATAATTGGAGAATTCATTACATCAGAATTGATTAATTTAGCCCGTTATAGAGAATGTGGAGATCATGATATTAACAACACGAGATGAGTAAAGGATAAAAGATGATATAAAAGAAACATAAAATACGATAAAGATATTTTCATTAAATTTTTATATGAGATTAAAATAAGGCAAGATTATACAGATATTATTTTTCAATTTAAACCCATATTTACTATCAAATTAATTATTAGATGATTTGAAATTTCATCTTCTTCAATATAAATATTGATTTTAATATAATATAATGTCATATCCATTCTTTACTTACATATGCTTCTCAGACGGCGGGGGTCAATGAGGATAAGAGTTTAGAAAGAGCTCATTGAGATGAATCAAACAGAATCATGTTACGTACATTTATAATAATTGCTGAATATTTTTATGTGACAATATTAAATATTATGTTTTCTGTATCAATCTTGAAGAGTTATTAAAAATATTCTCACTTATTTTGGTATTTTTAATTAAAAAAATATAAAGTTATTTAATCGAATATCAACTAATATTGTAAGCAATAACTACTGGAAATCAATTAGTTCTTCAATACTTTTAGTCTAACGACATTCCACTTTAAAAATATATGATTTAAATATTATCATAACTATATTAAGTGTAAGAGTTTCTACTATTTGTTACTACTGTAAGGAATATGTAGTGCCACAAGACAAGTACATTGTTACTATCTTCATATTGACCTTAAAAAGATGGATTTTTCAAGGATTCAAATATTATGTGTAACCTCATAATAACGACAAAATTCAAAGTTTGCAATTGACTCAAACCAAACAATCGCAAAATCTTATCAATTAATATATATATATTTAATAAAAAATATATATGTTATTGAAGATTCTATCATTACAAAAATGCTGTTATAAATGTAGAAACAATATTGTAAATAAATGAAAGTTAATAACAGTATGTCTTGATCCTCAAGTCGTTTAACAAGACCAGAAATTCTTCCAATAAACTTATTTTAAGTTCCTTTGTTTGTTCATTATTAAATGTGTAATAACATAACTTTTGTTATTTATTTTCCTTTAACAAAGGAATTATAGATAAAAATTTATATGACAATGTTCTTTCTGTTACAATGAACATAGCTATCGTACTCATATGATAGATATCATTTTAAATTTTAAACCGATGATTCAATTATTTCATTTCATTCGTCCAACGAGTAACGTGACGCGACTGTCACTAGCAGATATATCTTCGAATGAAAAATGAATTTAATAAATCCAATAAAATCATTCACAATTCGTCTGTGTAAGTGAAATTTAACCAATATATTTTCTTCTTCTTATACCTGACAATTTCCCAGCTTAAGCCAGGGTCTGCCTTATATGTTGTGAATCGTTTTGGCTAATTATTTTTACGACCGGCCGCCTGCCTGACATCAACCCTCTTTGGGAATCAGCATTAATCAGTGATCTCTAAATACTCTTAGAAGGTATATACATTATACATATGATTCGGAAAAATCACATTGGTACATGCGAGGGCCAGGATCGAACCCGCGCCCTCGTGCATGAGAGGCGGGCCGTTTTAACCATTAGATCACCACTGACTCAACCAATATATTTTATATGATCATAACGTTATATAATAAACAAAAGTCAAATTGATTCTGTATAATAAAGATATTTCAATCACCTTTAATATAAAAGGCACGGCGTTATACTGAACCCTCGCACCAATAACGGTGGAATTACGACATCACATTACACACGGAGAGAAAGATGTTTTGTATGGCTGTAGTGGTTAAGTCATAGGAGGTAGCGGGAGCGATTTGATAAAGATTATTATTATTCATTATACCCGGTTTCATTCGGAAAGTGCACAAAAAGTTCAAGAATATCGCAGTAAGACTTGAAAAGAAGGAAAATCAATTTTACAGTATGTTTCTTAATGGAAGTAAAGAAATATTTTATTAGAAAGTATCTTTTGCCCGCGACTTCGTCCGCGTTAATTTCGCAATGAGTAATATATGTATAACTGACCTGGCAAACTCTATTCTGCCCTAGAGGCCATAAATAACCATATATTTTTTTTACCGAACAGAATTAAATATCCTATGTCCGTCTCCTTGTTTTAAGCTGCCCAAAAATTTTCAACCGTATCCGTACAGCCGTAGTTGAGTTAAAAATAGTGTAAGTTACACAACTTTTATATATATATAGATTAATGAATGAATAGTAAAAAATATTTTTTTCATTTAACTATCGCAAAACTATATGTAATTTTTCTTTTATAACTTGGACCGTACAAGAGCTGTAGGCTGCGAGCACAGATCACACATCACAGATCACACAGTGGTACGCACTTAGAGCGAAATTGCCGCGACGTAACACCGTTTAAGACAATTATCGTAAACTGCCACTAACGAGCTTTTTACTTTGAATCAAACTCCTCTTACAAATTGAGACATACTCTTACAAGTCAATATTAGAGAGGAATTACAGCAAAAGAAAATTATGAGATTACGTACAAGGATAAATTAAAAATATCATAATTAAATCCGTAGCTTAATTTTGTTTGTTCAAATTTTATCATTAAATATTTTGGTAATGTAAATCTACCACATACTCGACTGGGCTGCTGAAGAAGTTTAATTAAATTAAACTTGCTTAAATGTTAGGCTGCCGTTATCCTACAAGTGTGTTGTTTGTGATATTAACACAACACATAAAAAATACCAACTGACTATTTTATATAGCAATGTTCTTATTCTTAACATTAAGCAAAATAGAAAGTAAAGAAAGTTAGTCGATATAAAGATACGTAAACTGAAATATTCGTAGTACAAAAACTTATGTATATTATGTTATAACAAACGTTAAATAGAACAGATGTTCAAATCTGTTTCGCAAGTTACGTGGAATATATAAATAGTTAAAAAAAACTCTTAACAAATAACTGATTTATAACAAACAAACTTCCTCCAAAGGAGATTCGAATGTTCATCATTCATCGGGGGCTGTTTCGACCGAACATGTCTATATTCTTTACGAGCGTGCATCGTGTGTTCGTCTGTGCTCCGTTTTATCTGTTAATGTCTTACATTTGTAAAGTTTACAACTCTCTAAGTAAACTAATACGCCCTCTCTCAATGTGACCATTAAACCACCGAGCTTTTCTATTTAAAGATGCACTTTATTACTGTTATAACACAACTTAAACACGTTTTCTTAAGTGTCTCAATGTTTTTTATGAGATCGGCCCTTCAGTTGTGTTATCACCTTATATATTACTTCAAACTTGGTGTTATTAAATTCCTTGCACCATACTAAAGCGAGGAAACCCATTTCTAATCCAATTTCATGGACACATATTTTTATAGTAGCAATTTAAACTTTTTCTATTCTATTTATTTTATGTTTGTCGACATTTTCCTAGTGGAAGTTCACAATAGCGAATTTTGTGTTTATTTCTTAGTAATGAAATTAACATAAGCCTTTCTTTGTTTCAGTTTATAAAGAAAACAAAATGGGAATCCGGATGCCGTATTGTTACATCGTAGCAGTTCTAACTCTGGGACTAACGTTAGTTACCGCAGATTTCACAGCCAATTGTCCACAAGAATGCAAATGTGTTTGGGCGAGTGGAAACAAACAAGCAGACTGTTCGCACTCGAACTTTCATGATATACCTAAAACACTGAGCACAGAAATACAAATACTTGACCTAACTGGCAACGAACTGTACGAAGTTACGAGGCACGCCTTTGAAGATGTACAGCTGATAAATTTAAAGAAACTTATATTAAAGGAATGTAAATTGATAACGATACACAAAAATGGACTCAGCGGCCTAGCTATTATGATTGAATTAGATTTGTCGAAGAACAATCTCAAAACTTTATATTCAGATACGTTTAAGGAAACAGCTAAAATACGATGGATCTTATTAAACGATAACCAAATTGAGAAATTAGAGGATGGTCTCTTTAACAACTTGCCGTTCCTTCAGAAGGTGGACTTGAGTAATAACAGAATACTACAAATCGGTGTAAAAACCTTTATGAATGTGCCAAAACTTAATATCTTAAGGCTTGACGGTAACAAACTGGAACATCTAAAAATTGATACTCTTAGTGCATTGACATCTTTGTCTAATTTGGATGTACACGATAATCCTTGGAGATGTGATTGCTATTTACAACCTTTTAGAAATTGGGTTATCAGTAAAAATCTTTATACATCACCAATATCCTGCAGTGAACCACCTAAAGTACACGGTAAATTATGGAAGGAATTAGATTCCAGTGATTTTGCTTGCAGGCCAAGCATTGTCTATCCTTCAACAAAAACAACATTACGATCATCAGATACGAATGTGACTTTGTCGTGTCTCGTTAATGGTAACCCTCTGCCTGAAGTAAACTGGGTGTTGAATGCACAAATAATAGACGGAACATATAGATATCAGGGAGAAATTAAATATTACGTAACTCAATCCAATACTGACAATAGTAAATGGGTCAATTTAACAATAATTGATGCTGGTACTTCAGATAATGGTGAATACTTATGTGTAGCAAATAACGCTGGCGGAGTTGAAGAAAGAAGTCTCACATTAGCCATCACCCACACGCCTCCCGGTATTGTCGTACCTCCTGGAATGGACAATAACATGTTACCCGTTTTGATCGGCGTATCTTGTACGGCGGCTATCTTACTTATAATATTAGTCATCCTTTGTTACTATTGCTGTAGAAGACGTAGTTCAGAGAAAAAGAAAGCTGATAATTCAAACGGAGAGGCTTTAATTGAAGGTTCGGTGATACCGGAGATGGAGAAAAGTTTAATCACAGCCGTAAACCCGGTAACTAAACCACCAAGAAGATACGACGTGCCCCCATCTATCACAAGCGGTGGGACCGAGATGTCCGAACTAAATAAAACCTTGCTCGATAATGATTCTGTGTTTGGTAAGTTGAAATTTAATATCTTATCATTTAATTAACTTCTTACAAAATCAACAACAATTACAAAATCAACAACAACAATGTTAAAGATGGGCAAAGAACTGAAATCAATATCAATCAATGTCAATCTATCAATAGTTTATCTTGTACATGAAGACGAGTAATAATAAAATGTATAAATAATTCCTTAATTTTATAATATTACATAAAAATAACACACTTTTTCTTTCTTATTTCAGCTCACAACGACGATGAGAAGCGATCACTAGATTTCGATCAACATAACAAACGGTCGCAGGACGCTTTGAATTCGGACTACGGACGTACAGACGGACGGGCCTATCCGCCTGATCTCTTGTCATTCCCCGCAAGAGCGGCGCAGATATCACCAGCGGCGAGTAATGCATCCACAGTACCAGATACAAGCAGACTACAAATAAATCCCGTCAGCCCGATCCATTCTCCAATCTACGGTATGACCACCAATCAAAACCTCTTCAGAACTTTACCTTACTCTCGGTCCCAGTCACCTTTCACAGCGCCGATGACGCCTCCTGTAGTGACACCCAGACAAGGTTACGTTACAATCCCGAGAAGACCAAGAGTTCCTTCATGGTCGAGTACGGCGAGTACAGCGATACTTCCGAGCACCGAGGCCCAGGAACCTCTGTACGACAACTTAGGCTTGAGAACAACGGCCGATGGTAGTTCAGTTCTTTCCCTTAATAAAGCGGGACTCGAACAACAATTTTCACCGATGAGAAATAGACCTCTGCCTGCTACACCTACAGCTTACCCGAACCCTCACCAAGTTTATTACGCGCCAATAGAAGAACAAGAGCCCGCTCCCTCCCCGGTTCCTCCATTCACTCCAACCAGAAACAGTATTAGTTCGCAGCTATCAAACCAACCTTCTACGCCCGGACCACAAGAACCCGTCAATAACAGAATGAGCTGGACAGCCAAAAACACGTCGACCCCACAACCTGAAATGAGAAAACAATCGATAAGCACTATTGATAACAGGAACATAGAAACACAGTCACAAATGTCTGACAACAATACAATGAGAAAAGGAAAACCAGAAACCGGTTCATTGAGAAGAAACCCCCGGACAGATAACAACGATCTCGGCTCACCAAGCAAAGATGATTACAGGAAAAATGAAAACGTATCATTGAACCAGTCGGGTACAATGGGAAGAAGTGGTAAAATACCTCCAAGGCCTCCGCCTAAGCCTAAGAAAAAGCCTAGTACGGAAGTGAGTCCAAGCGAACCACTGTTCGAAGATGAAGGCGAAGACGGCACAGAAGTGTAGTATTACAAGGAGTGGAACAATCCAAGTGCCAACGAGCTTGTAGTGATGACGTCACAGTGAAGTTTTATCAATGAACAGTGAACTATGAAGTGCAATGAAATCGTTATTTTGCGGTGCTCGTGTAAATAAATTGTGCTAGATTTTTTACTATGAAATTAATGGACCATTACTCAATTCAACATTAAGTATCGCTAAGCCATAACTAGTTTTATAACTAAAACAATGCACTGTACAACTATGTGTAACATATTTTAAGTATTTATTATTTATAGTTTTTTTAAGATTGACGTCTCAACATAACTATTAGCTTGCCCCCCGTCGTTGTTTCATCGATTGTCAAGACTGATTATTCTAAATTTGTTCTCACATTTGACATTCCCGTTGTGATTCCATTATCATTTTATCATTCACAAAACTAATATCGCGAAAGACTGAATTAGTCGCTTGTCAACTATTGATTGTGTCAATAGTTTATTTAAGCGCGTATTGATATCGGCTCTTTCATTCCATTCGTCGGTTTCTATTAAAACCAAATCAAAATATATCACAGACAGAGCTGTAACTAATTCAGAAAATAAAAATCGCATTACATTACATACATACTAAAATGTATGACTTCATTCTAAGTTAATATCATTTTAGGTTCTATTAAGACTGTTTATTTTGAATTATTTTTCGTATAACCTTTAATCACAGATGATCATGTATTGTCTTATGATATTTTTTTTAAACCACCTTTTTATTAATTAAATAGAATAGGAAATATAGTTCCTAAATCGTTTTTCTGTCGATTTGCACCAAATTATATTCCGAGTTATCATGTACATAGGAAAGATTAAATATTCGATAAATAGCTATGAAATTGATAAATAAAATGGTTGTAAGAAATAGGGTTTTATCAGAATATCAAAAATACATTGTTTTATAGTCTAAGAGCCAGTGTTTATGATACTAGTGTTCGTTTATTTAAGTGACACAATGTAAAGTTTTTTTGATAATTATCAATTAAATTATCATTATTCATACTGATAGGTGCATATCGACCTAACTGGTGACATCGTTACTGGTGCTTTTTATGATTTTAAAGTTATTTATTATTTGTACATGATTTTTGTGCTGATTTAAACTTTATTATCATTAAGTTGTATTCGTTAGTATGATATGATTTTAATAAATGGACATTGTCAATTGTAGTGTTTAAAGATAATTGGCATTTATGAAACGATGTGTTTTAAACTTGTACAATATATAATACTACTGTATCGTTTATTTCAGTATATTTGTTTTTTCCGTACGTCGTGTAAGGCGATGTACGTACGTACAATTTTTATATTGTTTATTATACACATTCATTTTACAAGTGTAAGCGCTATGTACATAATATGAACATTATTAAAAGTGATTAAACTATATTTCAGTATACATTATTTTATTTAATCTCCCCTGTTGTAACTTTATAGCAATATTTTTATAACAAATGTCACATGGGAAATATTAAAGCTAAAATATGGGAACAGTTATAAAAATACAGAGGCAAGGTAAAGATTATTTGTATAAAAATAATAAAATAATGATTTATAATGACTACACGAATGTTCTGGCTTATATTAAAAATAACTGAATTACTTGTGGATCTTTTGTAATACGAACATAAAAATATTCTTTGGAACGTTTTCTCTCTGAATAAAAATGGTATTTTTATATCCATACCCATCTAAATTTATTTTCATTTTCTATTTGTCGGCTTAACAAAATATTCTCCAATCCTCAATGAAAAGTGGCCTCTGGACACGAGCCTCCCAAAAGTATTTTCAGTTTAATTTAGGTTCTAACATAGATATCCAGTAGACTTCCACGAATTCCCCGAGGTCATTGATCTCGCTCGTTGGGGAAATTCTTCTAGATATCTAGAATTTCGATTGAAAATTGGAAGAATAGGAATAATTCTAGTACTCAAAGATTCAAAGGTATGGAAAAATTAGTTCAATACACATATTATTTGACAAAGACTTTTAAATCACTGGTTTTTATTCACTTTAAACAAACTACTGACGATACATCACTTTTGGTACGAATACATATAATCTATGAAGCTCATATAATAGTTTGGGATACTTATGAATACCTCCTTAAAATGATCAAATACTAATTTACTAAATTTATTAATTGTACTTAAAAAAATGTAATTGCTATCGAAATTAATTATATCACACTGCATTGAATTAATTCTGCTCAGTTTAATCTCAAATTAAGTTTATTTATGAAATTCTGCAGCATTTTCATTTTTGTATTCAGACAAGCTCTGCGACTTAGCGGTGTCAGGTATACATCCTTCTAGTTCGTGGGTAATATTAAGCTATATCTCCTATAATGGCAAGTTTTGAACTATCTATTTATTTGCATTATCCAATATAAATTTTCATTACACTTTTCTTGTTTTTCTTTCCTTTCGAAAATTCAAGAATTATTAATTGACCTCGAGTCTATAGTATTGTTGTCATAATACTAGGTCACCCTAAGACTTGTTCATGATAACTTATAACGCTTAGTCAATAGTCTAGTCTCCTTCATTGTACGTCTTTCACATTACAGATAATTTATGCCTCGCAGTAGAAGGGGTTCATTTGAATTTTCTCTTAACTCTCCAGATAATACTATAAAGAAGATTTGATTTTAAGTCAGAACAATTTCTTGAAATTCTTAAGATATTTCGAAAGTTTCTCCAACTCCAAGATGTCTTTGGCCGAATAGAATATTGACATACATTTCAATGATTTCTAGATCATTCTAGAATTTTCTAGAATATTCTGTATTTATTATCATTACATTAGTATACATGTTAAAGCTTTCCAGATAATTCCAGAGTTATTCTGAACAATCGAGTCTACTTATTTTCAACGATAGTCTCATATTTGCATAGTTAATATTTTTTAACATCCTTTGACACTCATATAATTATAGATTTGCAACCACCGTACTGCACGATGGGAAACTTGCACCTATAAAAACTTGAAAACATTATTTTTGTTATTAAATTGAAATATAAGGACAGAAAACTTTCAATTCATATGTTATTTATTAACGTCCACATTACCACTTTAAAGCCATAACATTTTCCCGACGTTATATGTTGATAAAAAAAGAGTAAAGTTTGCTTTAAGCGAGAGCAATGTAACTGCGGAAACCTCAATAAATCTATTTAACAGCTTCAGAAGTCACCACGTTAAGTAAAGCTGACACGAGATGAAAACATAGAAAAATGCATTTAGTATTGAATATAGAGATGTGTCAATATTAGTATGGGTTTAATAAGACGACTACAGTCTTATAAAAAAGACGTCTTTTTAGAATTAAATTTGTGAATGATGTAAGCAATTAATAAAATTATATTAAATGAAAATAACGTTGCTTGGGTGTTAATAAGTTTGAATTGTACGTGAGGAAGCAAATAATACAATGATTGAACACTTATGTTTAACCAGGACTAAATAACTATTACGAAAACGTATGGAATTGCTACTTAAATTAAATATCAACTTATTAAGGGCAAGTATTTAAAATGTCATAGAAAAAGAAAGAATCATTGATGCTGCTCTTCGAATAACATCCCTACTAATATTATAAATGCGAAAGTAACTCTGTCTGTCTGTCTGTCTGTCTGTCTGTCTGTCTGTCTGTCTGCTACGCTTTCACGCCTAAACCACTGAACTGATTTTAATGAAATTCGGTACAGAGATAGAGTTGACCTTGAGAAAGAACATAGGATAGTTTTTATCCCAGACTTTTGAAAGGTTCTCTTGGAAACGCGATATAACCGAACTCCACGCGGCGAAGCTGCGGGCGGAAAGCTAGTATAATATAAATATTATATTACATTTACATGTATTACTATAATATTTATCACCATGTTTCTTCCTATCACAAAATCCTTCCCCTTTCTAGAAGCCTCTTGTGACCTGAATAAGTCCACGGTAAAAGGCATTTTTCTCTTTATTTTTAACGTCCGGTACTCAACTTGTAATTTGACCGACGCGATGTTCACCGCTGTCTCCTCTCCTTTAATGTTTCTGTAGAAGTTTTTATTATAATTAAACTATTACTCTTTTAATAATTAATATTTTAAACTCTACAGTTTGGATGTAGGCTTCATGGATTTAAATGAAATATAGTTTTTCCAATAAATCATTGTGATAAGTTCTAACTTCTAAATGACATCAAAAATGTTTGTTCAATTCATTGTTAAATCTAATAAGTATGGCAATTTAATATAGTGGTAGAGAAAAATTCAGTTTACAAACTTGAAATATATAGAGATTATTACTATACGAATTTTTTTTGACTCTTACATATCAATGGATGTACAAAGAAAAAACATATTGAGTTATTTATAGAAAGTAAATTTAGAGTTCCCGAGATTTTTACAGGAATTATAGAACACAATATTATATTTTAAAAAGCTCTCGATATAATGAAGTTTTATAAAGTAAGGAAAAATGTACATATCATGTATGGAAAGAGTTTCGATTTTAATTAGGCGAAATACATTATTTTTGTTTTCACATAAAGTGCAAGATTTAAAATCTGTTCGCCTCCATATATTTTACGAAATAAATTTTTTGACTACTATTAATTAATTGTACAATTGTGTGAGTATTATACTGTCTCATTTAAAAGATTCTTTACTTACAATTAAGTAGAGCGAAAATTTTTTTCTACACAAAACACTATGCCTGTAGTAGTCCTGTCGTACAATATTTATTATTATTTATTTAAGATTCACCAGTGGTAAATAGTATGGTATTAGAGATTATCATAAAAATCGGTTCAGCATGTCTTATATGAAAAATCAATAATAACAATCCAAACATTCTAATTAACTGTTTTTGCGTTGTTTGCAAAAACGTATTTGATACCTACCTTTAATTTTCTGAATTAATAGAAATTGGAAACATTTTAATCGACCATAAATAAAAGGGATATTATAATATGAGAAAATTAAT